GATTATTTTTATCATTATTTTATAAATATTGTTAAACTTAAAATGGTTTGTTCTTTATACAGTATCGATTTAATTATATTCCAAGGTTTAAACAAATATTTTGTACATTTTAACAAAATGTGTACTAACTTAGAAATCTAAAGATCTTTTTTAAATTTCTAAATATTAAAATGTAATAATACTACGTTATGGATTTTGAAACAAGTTTTATTTAAATATTTTTTTAAGAAATTGAAAGTTTAACAATATATTAGTTATTACAAAAGGTAAATACACGAAAGCTCATGCAGATATCGAAATTGATTTTTAAAATCAACTTATTGTCACTTTATTGAATTTGAAACAAATATTTATTCTTACATCAATAAAGACTCCTTAGATAAAAATATTTCACTATAAATTATGTACATATTTTGAAACTTTTTATAAATCTTCATTACCAATTTATAGAATTTTTTTTATTATTAATTTGTATTTTAAATAATAGACATAATAATAGACATTTTTATTAATAATTCATGGTTAATCGATGTCTATCAGCATATCGATTAAACGATCATAAAAATTATATCCGGATGTAATGTCGTTAATCTTGAAAGTGTCACTCTTCATAAGAAAAAAATATAGCGAATTTTACAATATATGCTTCACGATTATCTTATATAAATGTAATTATTCTGCAATTTTGTTTTATTATATGAATATTGTAATGTTGTTAATGGAGATGTGAATATTATAATCGTTATTATTATTCTATTATTATATTATTTAATGTGTATAAATTTTGATAAACATGACGTTAAAAAGCTTAAAATTTCGAGAAAATTTAATTGATCAATGAAATGAATATTAAACGGTTTATGTGTTTGAATAAAAAATTTAAAACTTCAATAGGCGTCGACTTACTCGTCTCAGCAACGAGTAGACGCGATATTCTCGATCATTTTCTAACTGTGTCTATAGATCGACTGCCTTGTTTCCTTTATTTTCTGAAAGAGTTTAACTCGTCGTTAAATAGAAAGACTTTGAGAGAGGTGGAAAAGTTGCACTTTTACATGTACAATGAAGCTACTTCATTTATATTGCTTTGTCAGTCAGCAAACCTAAACTTGGCCGTTAACAGGCCAAGCGGGAAGTTTACCACTTATTTTAATAAATTATATCCAATGCATACTTACTTCTGATATCTGTAAGACAAACTTAAGACTATAAAAACCTAAAAGTCTCAGTAAATAGTTACTTAAGTATTATTTATTTAAATTTAGACATTTTATGATCAGAATTAGTTAAAACAATTGGTCAACGACTATTTTCTTTCATTCTATTTTAATGATTAAACTTAAATGCTTTAAATAAAAAAAAATTATAAATCCAATGATAATTTTCAATTTACAAAGTAGTACATAAATTGAGTCAATAATTATAAAACGTAAATTTATATATACATACTTACCTTTTCAATCAAGTATAAACAGGAGCCGCGAATTGAGAGAACCGTAAGGTAAAATATAAATATAGAAACGCTTATGCAAGCGTGAGATTTACTAATCAATATATTAGTAAGTGATTAGAGTATAAAAGAAGTAAACGATTTTACGGTTCAATCAATATGAAATCGAGACTCGCGTATCCTCTGAAAAGTTTGATATCAATCACAATTCATTCAAATAAAACAGTAGAGAGGAACGTGAAATTCAATTATCAACAAAGTAAAAATAATTAAGTATATCGTAGTTGTATATTTTATATATTAAATTTAATTAGTGCAAATTATATTTATATGCTACCGCAAACAACAATATCTTGAAAATACTTTAATGTATACCTGTCACCGTCAATTTAACATATACACTAATATATTCTATATGCATATAATGTTAAAACTCTTATAAAATAACATTAAACTATTATTTTCGTGTATTTGGATCTTTAATATTTCCTTTATATAATTAAATTTGGTTTAGTTATTTAATATTTTTATTTATTGCCCTTAAATATCCATTTAAAATTATAAGCACATCTTTCTTTATTTTTGTATATTTCGTTTTTACTAATTTTCTCTAAATAACATAAAGTTTTAAATTAAATGTTATACTTTAAGAAATTAATTTACCTGTACATTATTAATAGTATAAAGTAAAGCGTTTATAAAAACTATACAAATATTGTAATTACTTTAAGAAAGTTTTAGCCATATTTATTCAATCATAAATTTCAATAAAAACGTTATATGGTAAGAGGCAAATTGTATTATAAGTAACTTACGATGGGTTTATTGTGCAATATTATATATATATATATATATATATATATATATATACATATATATGTACGTAAATGGTAAGAAAAATATTGTAAAGAAGCTGTTAAGTTTTAGACGTAAAAACAGATCTACAAATTTAACCATTTAACAATAACTCAGTTACTGTTGAACTAAATGTGAAATCTGATAAATGTGTAAAACAGCATGAATACGCACTAAAATAAAAATAAAATATCATAAATTTCAAATCTTGATTTAATATTTTATTTAGTCATATATTATACACGATTCTGATTATTTTAAGCTTAATAAAAACCAAAAAATAATAACGACCTATAATAATTTGTATTACTTACATTTAATAAAAATATTTATTATGTTCTTCATTTATATTTCATTAAATTTGAAAAATAAATAAATAAAATGTCTATTAATATAAACTATTTATGATATAAACATTAAAGTAGTAACGTATTACTAATATATATATATATATATATATATATATATATATATATATATGTAATTAAAGATAAATTATTTAAAATGTTATTATCCTCATGAATAACGCATTAGCAATTAATTTAAAATAGTAAACAAATATGTACAAGATTCGTAGATTGTAAACGAGACTCGTAATAAAAACTATGGAAACTACAATTATAAACTAATGAAAATAGAAAAATCTAATTATCAATAAAAACAAAATTTTAATGTTATATTATTATATGATGAATCTTCGTTGCAGCAATATAATTTAGAGACCTATATACCGTTATATAAAAATAAAACATTTAGTGCTTATCTTTTAATTAATGTCAACTAATTTATATAACATTTAGACATTGGTAAATTCATTTTAAAAAAAGAAAACCTTACTGACAAATTCAGTCTGCCAACTAAAACGAACACAAACATATTATTAATTATATCGATCCAATGTTTTCGTCGTGTCGGTAAGTATCTCTATTTATATATATATATATATATATATATATATATATATATATAATATTGCTATATTAATTTTTCATTTTAATGGCCATTAAAAAATTGGAAACAAAAAAAAATTTATGGAATATTTTAAATTCACCATTAAGCCACGAGAGAATTAATAAGTATTTAATTAAAAATAAAATTCTATATTATTATTAAGTTAATTTATAACTTAATGTTATTGTTAAAAATACACATAATTACAATAAGAATATTGTCATTCATAAAATATGAAATTGAAGTTTTATGTATGAATTTACAATAGGTATTTATAAAGTAAATTTAAATTTTAAATTCAGAATGACAATTAAGTGCTCAATTTATATAAAATTAAATAATATTTAATTGTATTTAATCGTAATCCGAGTAGACGGTAAAATGATAAAAAAAAATCGTATTCTAATTATAGTTCAATGGCTGCATAAATTAAGGCTAAAGATAAATGAAAAATAAAAATCTTTCATTCAATATTGTATTATCGTAAGATTAGTATTAGAAGAAATAATTACATTTATGATAGCCGTAAAATCTTTAACGATTGACTTGATTAAGTATAAAATTCACTTACATAGATGCGTAAAATCAATGAAGTTCAATAACAAATACAACATATATATATATATATATATATATATATATATATTACATACAACATATAAAAGTATAATGAAAGAGACAATTTGTTTATTTAAAATATTTCAGTTTGACTACATTGGAACTTTTTCAACTTGAGCCAATCTGCATTTGCCCTTCGCCAACTATCAAATCAATGGAGTTAATAAATTGCTCGTGAACGTAGGTTGTTTTATTTTCTAAATTTATAGTAATAACTTTACCGATTCCAACTCAGCGTTGCCATCTAGTGAATTTTAGCTTGAAATACTTTTTATAAAAGTGCATACATCCATTTATCATATTTATTATAAACGCGCGTGCACGTTTGTGGCAAACATGCCATTTTGAAAATATCTCTATTAAGGAGCAGGCATTTGATATGGAAGAGGAGAGACGTTTATTTTAATATTCATGCTGTTTACTTTAATAAGCCATATTAAATGACAAAATACTGCCAACTTACATCCACCTGCTGCAACAAGAACGTATACCGCGCCACCTTCCCCCTCTTTTCGAGAAATACGCGCGCGCGCAATCGTCGGCCATATCTTCTTTTATCTCTCTCTCTCTCTCTCTCTCTCTCTCTCTCTCTCTCTCTCTCTCTCTCTCCCTCTCCCTCACTCACTCTCTTTCGTTTTCTCTTTTTCTATTTTGTTCGTTCGTTCGGATTTTATTAGATGCTGCATTGGTGCGCAATCTTTCTTTCACAATAAATCCGATAATTTACAAAGGAATAAAGTATTACCTATAAATAATTCTATTCCTTGATTAATTATTGTTTGATTACCCCTACTTTCCTTTAGCGTTTATCGGAAAGTGCGAGAAAGCTTTTCATTTTTCTATTCTCCCCTCTCTATCCTTGTCCCTCTTTAATTCTGACCCTTTTACACTAGGGACGTTATGCTCGTTAATGTGCAATGTTGATCGATGGACGCGATCCACCGTACGATCACGATCATACAAATGCTCCAAAAGATAAAGAAATCTCTAACAACGATCAACTTTCATTTCTCTCGCTTCAACTGAACTCGCAAAATTATTCACGACATTCGTAATCGAGCCGAGTATGTAAAAGGGTTCGACCGACTCGCATGCGCACGCACGCTGTACTCTCTATTCCTCGCGTTAAATCGCTCGTACGCTCATACACTCTCACTCGCTCATACATTGCACACATACGAGTAACAGAAGCCCCTTGCGGTCCTTGATCGCTGAGCGTCGCACGTCTACCTTTTCGTTGTAAAGGGAATAAAGAAGTTTAGTAGACGCCACGACGACGAGAGCGTTTCGTCAGTTCGTTGAGAGCCCGGAAGTTTATTTGTGAAACAAACAAAGCCGCAAACATTCCGCGCAAAAGCAACATGAAGAAGAAGGACGTGTCGGAGGAAGAGTTCTCCGCCGACGATCCCGACGATCCCGAAGAAGACGGCAATTCCGGTGACGACTGGACGCCCGGCCAAGAGGTAGCGTATCCCATTATTCTTTCATCCCCTCGAGTGCCGATAACGATCACGCGACCTTCTGCGTGCCAAGCTACCACGGAGCTGCCAAAGCACATAACCTCACTTTTTACCGTCGCCGCCGCGCGTGCTCAATAAAACAAAAAGGTCTCCCGAGGTCGATGATGTTCTTTTTTTTTCAACAGCCTCTGCGACCTTCTTTTATCGTTGTCCCATGCGTAGCTACTTGCAGTACAGTTCGTCAGTTTTTCTCGATTACGCGTCGTTCGCCAATCGACTCGCGTCCCACACCTATTACTCGACATAGTAAAAAGTCTCCATGGCATTGCCTTGGCTGAATCATATAAATGCCATTGACAAACGGATACGTACGCACGTACGTACGCACGCACGCACGCACGCACGCACGCACGCGCGCGCGCGGGCGCCCGCGCGTGTCCATATTTACATCGCGCGCAGCATACTCTCGTAAAATATCCCCGTCTCTCTCTCTCTTATACTCCTTCGTTGTGTCATCATCGTTTCTCAGAACGTTCTGGCGTTCTTCCTATCTGTTGTGTTTTGTGCGTGTGTCGTCGCTATCAAAACGCATCCGCTACTTGGGGAAAAGGCATGGCGCGAAGGGTATAACGCCGCTTCCGCATTTATTTATTGTAAGGTCGGGGCATCGATACGCGCACGCCGCTCGAATAGTGCACCAAAACATCTACGAAAACGGGGAAAGGGGGCGATGGCTGACGCTACAGGCGAGTTGGCGGCGGGGGGGTCCGGGGGGGGGGGGGTTAAAGGTTGGGTGGATACATATTATTGTAGGCGATACGTTTTCTTCCACGAATCTCCCGACGCTGCGTCTATTTCTCCTTCAAGCCGGCCGGCCAATGGCGCCGGTTCATGACCATCATTGTTTTTTCTTTTCTTTTCTTTTCGTTATGTCGTTGCGCCAACTGCTGTCGCCGTACGGCACTTGGCACCAACGACCATAAGCGCGCGCTCCTTACAATTCTTTCTCCAACGAAAATCATTATAAAATACGTTCGCGAGGTAATAACGATAGGACGATTAGACCGGAGGGAAGCCATAGGTGCAACGACTCAATTGTGTAAATTCAAAAGTATTAATTTATATTAATGTTTTGTTTGCCGTTAAGTCGGCAGCGGTACTGGCGTACGTAACCGCCTTATGCGTCGTCGCACTGCGTACTCTATTTCCAGTTATCCATATCCATATTCCAATCTGGTCAGATAACTATGCACGCAAGTAGAACTTGTCGTCGTCGTCGTCGTCGTCGTTGTCGTTGTCGTTGTCGTTGTCGTTGTCGTTGTCGTTGTCGTCATCGTCATCGTCATTTTAACATTACCGTCACTTCATTGTCACAAACGCCGAAACATAAATTGCACGATGTAGTAATGTGCCGATGGGCTGGCGTATTCCATGAAAAACCCAATAACGAAAATATGGCTGTAATGTTGAGCGTACCAACGTCTTTGGTAACTTTAGCTTTTGAGGTTTGAATCGAGCGCGTCCAATGGAGAATATAATACTCCGAAGCTAGACAGTTATTTTAAAAAGAATCAATGCCGATGATGAATTTCATAATAAAAGTTGCGCCTGTATTGTTTTTTTTTTTCTTTTCTTTTTTTTTTTTTTTTTTCAGTCATTGAAAGTATATAACAAATTTTGTTTTACAATATTCAGGCTAATAATATTAATAATCACATGTTTAATATAGTTTGTGCTAAACACATACTTTTATGCGTCGATATATTAATACCATCGATACGTATATACTAAGACAAATCTTGCCCATTATAATATTTATTATAATAAGATTATTATTCATTTAAAATGCAGGCATCAATGTAGTAAAATTAAAATAAGTCGACATGTTTACTTATATATACAGTGCCTAAATTATTTTATTTACTTTGCGATATTCGTCATAGTTTTGTTTTGTTTTTTTTATATATTCAACAATAATATAATTTAGCGATTAGGCATGTTTTTAAAAGAAATATATTATTGATCTGATATAACCATAATTAATAAAAAAAAAAAACTATAATAATAATGAAAAAAAAAAGGGTTTTAATATTAGCAAGCGTTATTTTAAATCTCTAATTTAATTTACTATAATTTCGGATAATAATTGAAAATTGGAAATAAGACTTGCCAATCCAAAGTTGTTGTTGTTGTTGTTGTTGTTTTTCTTTCCTTTTTTATACAGAATATACGTATACATTTAAATTTTGTATAATAATAAATAAACTAATAGATTTCAGATTGCACAACTTTTTACTTACTTAAATATACTGACTTGTGTATCGATGCGATATATTACACAAATATATTATTTTAATATTTTATCATAGTATCAGCTATATATGTATATGTATATATATTAAAAAAAAAAAAAAAAAAATTAATCGCTTCGTTTTGTATAATAAATTTTATAAAATATAAATTTATTTTATTGAGATTAAATACAGCCTCACATACATAGTCGGCATTACTCGACGATCCAACAAAGTAATAAGAACACTCGAGAATACTGATATCGAGTTGAGAAAAAACGGAGGTTGTCTGTATAATTGATAATTTTTTTTCTTATTCCGTGAATTCAAGTCTACATTTTCATTAACGTAATTTAGTTAAAATAAGTATATATAATTTAAATATTGTGTCCCTCTAAAATGGGACGAAGCGTTCACATCATCTTATATCTTATTTTTTTTTTAGTCATGATCCTCGTTAACAACGCTAGTTTTTTTTTTATCTACAATTGATTAGTCATGATTTTCGTTGTTTCAAGAGACGTTTACAACATACATGGTATTAAATAAAAAAATTTTAATCTCTACGCCATCCTCTATATCAATTAATCTTACAGTGAAAGAGAAAAATCTTATACAATATAGAATATTATTGTTTACTTAATATTTCTCTTTAACTTTAAGTAAAGACATTTGAGAGAAATTAATTCGTTCAATGCAATACATCTTAAGCGTGAATCGATTTGCAATCGAAATATCGCAAAGATATTATTACATGATAGAGTTTTAATATGCACAGCTCAATATCAAAGAGCCTAAGAGATTACAACGCTGTACTTATATAAAAATATATATTAGCATTATAAATATATTTACGACATTTTAATAATTTCTTGTGATATTTGAGATAATATTAATATATATATATATATATATATATATATGTATTCATTCGAATTTTTAATTTGGATAATTTTGATTTAATATACTTCCAAAATATTTATGCGATTCGGCTGTCAATAACTGCGAAAAATAATTCAAGTTTCTTTGTTTACGGTTGTATTTATTTATCAACATTCGGAGATTAATTGAAACTAATATAAGACAATAATTACTTAAATATTGAATTATAACTATTTTTAGCATAAATAAGAATTATATGTGTAAATATAGGATAGTTTTTAGAATATTGAAATTATTATATTATCAATAATTTGTAAGAATTGTGCACCGATCGGTCAATTAAATATATTGTTCATTGCATTGGAAAAATTATCAATTTCGAATATATATTTTATTTATACAAATTTTCGTTTGCAGACTGGAGGCGGAGTAAAGAAGAGACCAAGAAGAGCATCAGCCAAAAAACGACACCACTCGGAAGAAGAGGAAGAGGAGGAAGATGACGAGGAAGAAGAAGAGGAGGAAGAGGAAGATGAAGAATCTGATTCTGATTCCGGTAGAAAGACAAAAAGAAAGCGACGAACCAGAAAAGAAGAGGAGGAAGAGGATGAAGAAGAAGAAGATTCAGATGATAATAATTTCAATGATACATCTGGAATTCCACCAAAGGACTTTACTGTATGCAGTTATCATTGTTCAACCGTGTATTTCTTAATAGTATATAAATAATTAATATTAATGTATCATGTATAATGTTTTCTAGTCGGGAGCTTTTGTTGTCGCAAAAGCCGATGTTAATGGAGACAAGGATCCGACGTTATGGAGGATAGATGGAAAAGCATTACTTCAAAAGTACTTACCATTTGTTGAGAATGGCAAGACTCTATACAAAAGCACCTCTACAGTAAGTCGAGCTTTCGGCGTTAATAATTTTCATTTTAAGATGAATTCATACAACTTGTCGTAATAAAAATTAATTTACTTTAAACATGAAGCTTAGTCTTATTTTAGCAAAACTAATACTGAATGAATACTGCCATACCATAATTATGTTTAAAGAAAAGTACTGATTTTAAATGTTGATGAAAACGGTTGTGGTGTTAATATGTTATGGATTCTTTTTTTTTTTTTTTTTTTTTTTTTTTTTTTTTTTTTTTTTTTTTTTTTTTTTTATATATTTTTTTTTTTTATATTATGTTATTTTAATAATTATATTTTAGTATTCTGGATGGTCGGTTAACAACAAAGATAAATACTTTGCAGCACAAGTAACATTTAAAGTGCAAAGTAGGCAAGAAACAATCGTAGAACTTCATCTTGATCCTGAACAGCAGCAACAAGCAGCAGTAAAGTGAGTTAATTCTTAAATTATTACATTTCAACGCTGAAAACTAACATAAAATAATTATATTATAATTGGATGTTTTAATTTGTAGGGATGAAAAAGAAGAATAAGTGTAGCATCTTACGTTATCTTTATATCTTTTAAGATCAACCACTGACAAAGCCAAACACGTAAGCGTGAGTTAAATAATGTACGAATGTGGAACAATAAGATATGCATTTTTGAATATATAAACGTCACTGAATTAAAAATTGTTTCTAATACAATTTATAACGTAATCATTGTTAAAAAAAAAAAAGAAAAAAAGAAAATATATATATATATATATATTAAAACAAATACACCTTTTATAATTCAAATCAGTTGTATAAACACTATTAATGGTTTGATTATACAGGTGATATTTTTCAGTGTATTTGTACTCTATTACATTTTTGTACTCTGACGTTATTTTTAATTATTTTGAAAATAAAATTTATTGCTGTAATAGAAACAATTATTTAAGAAAACTGAATTCAAACAAAATTCTGTCACTTAAATTACTGTGTAAATTTTTATTGAAGCGACGACTTTAGATGTTTTACTTGATCATAGAGCATTTATAACAAGCTAATGTGTTTATAATTAAGTTCATAAAAATATCAATTTAGATTGCGTGTGTGAGAAATTATGATGTGGAATTGAAGAAATACAACTAAACTCATTAAGATGCATTTACAAGGAACTAGACTTTTCTTTAACATTATATAAGATATTAATTATATCTGGTAACTTAATTAATACACGTCTGATTTAATTTTTATTTTATTTTATTATATAAATATTTAATAAATCAATTTTTCAACGAAACTTATGTTAACGTTTAATGTATGAAATAATATCGAAAGTAAGTTGAATTTAAATAATTACATCTAAAACAAGCAGTAATTTTATTACATAAATAATACAAGGTTGAAGCTTTTTATTCAATCTTAACTTACAAGTCTACACTGTTCAAAAAATTTTCTAATGTATTTGCAAAATAAAAATAAGTTTCATTAAAAGCTTCTATATCATTTACCCGGCAAATGTTAATATTTCAATAATTTGATTTTATAATATTCAAACCCTCTTCTTAAATCGAATAAAAATAAAAATTGTTCAGTATTGGTGGCTGCAATTGAAAAATAAATAGACTTAATAAGAACGATGATTCACGTGGCAATTCAATCAATTTTAACAGGAACTTTACAATGCAAGTAACGTATCGACGAAGTAGATCTATAATATTTTCAATAGCTTTACGAATTATAAAAATATGATTGATTTACTAATTATATATTTCATCATCTAAAAATAACTATTAGTAATACTAAAGTATATCATGATTACGCTTTATTTGAATATGCGTGTATATATATATATATATATAGTAAAAAAATTTGCTTTCCTATCAAAATCAATATCAATTTAAAAATCTTATTAAATGTATGCAATAATTTTTTTTTCCTTTTTTTCTTTTTTTTAACATTAAATTTAATAAAATCAAAGAGATTATAATAAAACTCTGTACATTAAAATGATTTGTAATCTATTCTTTTATGACTTGTAATTATTAAAGTTTTAGTGCATAATACAAAAATGCAATTAATTACAATAAACTTTGTTTCAAGTGTAAGAATTATTTTTGTACTAAATGTTAAACATAAAAACGTTTAACAAACTAATTACTATATTTTAAAACAGAAAGTACTGGGCTAGAAGAAATAAAAGATATTACACTTTATTTTAAGTTGCTATTGCATTAAATGCTTCTTTGATTTATCAATGGTGTACTATTTTTCTCAATTATTTGTCATTAAGTTTAAGTTACGTTGCTGTAACCGTTACTAACAACATATTTACATACCAATAAGCGTCACAATATCCTAATACACAGCTAAAATAACTTCAGTGTTTAAAGCGCACATTTAATTCAAATAATTAAGAACCAAGTCTTGAAATTAATATATTTTTAAAGATTTTTTACTCAAAGCTAGGAGAAACGATTATTAAAGTAATTAAATTATTATGCCTCGTTTTTCATAAATTCCTATTTATAAATAGATTATTTTAAGAAATAAATATAAGATAAAAGAATGAAAAATCTTATTGTACGCATGGCTTATTTCATATTTTTTTAGAGTGTCGTTCCACTTTGTACGAAGGGTTTCTACTTTTTACAATAAATTTCAATATTTATAATCCGTCACTCTCAATCAGAGTCTAATCACAGATAAAGCTACGTCACTATGTTTCACAATGTAAAGATCAAATAACAAAATCATATTGAATTAATAGTGCATTGAAACGTCGTGCTTTCAACTAGGAACTTAAAATCCAGGTTCCATCCTTACGGAAAGTACACTACTTAGCATATCCCTGATCTCGGCCATTTCTCTGCGACTCTTCGCCACGACGTCTTCAAGTTTCTTATTTTTCTGCAAGACCTTCTCCATCTCGAGCCAACAGTCCTGACTGGTCCTCTTGTAACAGCACGAGAGGCCGGCCTCTTCCTCATCATCCTTTTCATCGCTCTCCACTTTTCCGCAATGAACACATTTATTCTGAAGCCTCAGATGCAAACTGCCGGATCTTTGCGACCCATCCGTATCAATGTCCACCGACATTACGTCTTCGAACGACGACTCCACGTCTATTTTAGCTTGGCGTTTTAAACTTTTGCGTCTCGCTAATGAAGACGAAGGGCAAGAGGAAGTCTCGGACGTACTTTCGTTCTTTTTCATAGGGCGCGTCAGCCCGTCGCTAAATCTTCGACCCTTTTCATACTCCGAATGAAATATCTTACAAGAACCCTCGCTAGCTCGTCGCTGATTACTGTCACTTAAATATACAAGCTCATCGATATTGTCGCTGTTGCCGCTGTTGCCGCTGGACAATAATTCTACCTCCAGTGGGTCAGTAATTTTATTATTATTCGCATTGATATTGTCTTCGGCTGTAAAAACAACAGTTTCAATAGAGTCTTTGTTCTCCCCACTATAATTATCGAGATCGACCAATGTTGGCTTTGACTTTCCGCTAGAAAATTCGTTATTATTATTTGTCATACTTTCTTCGTCCGCGATGAACGTTGGTCCCATTTGATCTGGCGCGGTCGTATCGTCCAATAACTTAAACAAACTATTTGTTTGCGTCGACATTTGACTCCTTGATGAGCTGACTTCTATGAGATCGCCGTTGTGCCCAAAGGCAAAGGACTTTTGACCTTGTTAAAAATAAAATTTTATACATTTAATACGTTGTAATGGAATGAAATAACACGACAAAATTCCCTACTATGGTTAATATTTATTAAAGAAATGACATTGACAAACTCGAGTCAATATAACATTTACATTAATTGTTATCAAAATAATTCGTAACTCGTTGAAAATAATAGATTGATAAGCCTTTTTAATGCGAACATTAATAGAAGAAAATGATGAGAGTTAGACGAAACTGACCATTAAAAATAAAAACCCCATTTATTTATGTAGAATATAAATCAAATCTATAGCGAGAATCTTACCAATGATCATCCGCTTGTTTCGCATATCAGGACTTTTCGATCTCGGTCTATCGAGAAACTGGCGATTGTCAGGTGATAGGACCGACAGTTTGTTTTCCTGTTGTTGCAGCATGTGAGGTACTGTATTATTATTATATGTAGTGTAGGCGTCAAGTTCGTGGTACTCGTGTTCTCGTAGCCGCTGCATAATCTTTTGTACAATTTCGGATGGAGCTACATACGGCGAACCTGCGGAACATTGCCGACGAGTTTAATCGTGAAAATCATCATGAGAATGGACAATTAATCAACAAAAACGTAAGTAATAGCCATTGCAATATCAAGAAATGCAGTATTTCTACAAATTGTTTCTGTGTTATTATTCGTACTTGCATAAATGCTATAATACGTTCTAATAATAATAATAATAATAATAATAATAATAATAATAATAATAATAATAATTTAAAATCTCGATTTAAAAGTTTAAACTGTCTACCGTTGTTTCAATTTTATAATGAATTCTTTCTAATAACGGTGTATGAATCACATTGTCGTTATACAACTACTAAATTAACAGCAACAATTGAAAATTTACGCAATACACTTTCTTGTTTATTCAAATACAATTATACAAGAATTAATTAATTACTATATGACTACTATTAAGATTTTTTACGAGGATGTATTTTAGTAACAGTTAATAACGGATTTTCAATTAAAAAAAAAAAAAAATCTAAATATTCGAAGGAAAAATTAATAAAATAATTTAACAAAATTTTCTATAACAATAAACTATAGTATAATCTAAATTGCTTGTATTTTAATCATTTCAAATTTATTAAAAAAATATATATAAAAATTTATTTGTTAAATCGGTAGACAATGTAACAACTTTATTAATTTAATAACTTTGTTATGTTAATAATAATATACCATAATGAATTTTATTTTTTTCCTTTATTCAGAATCAATAATACCATATATTGAAGTTTCACAATTATAAATTTATTAATATAATTATTCGACTGTCAATCTGTAGTTATAAACTTTTATTGAGCATTAAAATTATAATTATTAACAAAATAATAATTGAAAAAAATAAAACGAACAAATTAAATTTATAAAAAATAAAAAAAATAAAAAAAAAATATATTAAAGCAAATGAAATATATTTACAAAACAGTTAATTTAGGGGAAAATTTTAAGCTATTCATTCGAAAAAATCATCCCCGTAAAATTATTGTCTGAAAAAAATAATGTGGAATATTAATAAGCATTGGAAAAACTAAAAAAATTATAAAAAATATTGATTAATACATTAATAAAGGTTAATCGAATTAACTCCACACACACACACACACACGCGCACACACACACACACACACACACACACACACACACTCGGATCAACTACTATGCGTTATGAATTTAAAAATTGCAATTCATTTGTGTCGAGTGTATAAAACAACAAAAAATGTTTAATATAATAGCTTAGACTATACTACTTCTAATATTTCGTGAATTTTAAAAACGAACGAATTTTATTAATGATAATTGAAGTATTCTTTAAATATAAAAAACATGCTTGAATATCAAATTATTTATTTGATTATTTCAAAATTAATCGACGTAGAATTTCAAAATATTGAAGATATTGATCGAGCCTTTTTCTCAAGATATATCATCAACTGTGTTACTATTAATGAAATAGTAATTAAAAATAAAAAAAATAAAAAAAAAAAAAAAAAAAAAAAAAATAAAAAAAAATTATATATTACAAAGGTCTAAATTAATAATGAAGCATAACTTAGGCAATGCATAAAGGGACAAGCCATATATATTCTATACAATGACACGAAAATGCAAATACAAAAATTGTTAGACATGCTGAAATATCTCTGGCTTCAAATGAACACAAACATGCGTGAGATAAATGAAAGTGACTTTTATCTCACTTGCTCGTGCCTCCGACTACGGTGAATGCAGACGTAATTAGCAACAACAAAACGTGTAAAAAAAAAAAACTCAGGGAAAAATACGAAAAGTGGAAAAATGTCTTTGTACGTTACAAACTCTCTAAATTTCTTAAAAGTGAACTTAATCTTTCAGAATTAGATAAACAGAATTGTGTATTTCGAATGAATGTTTGATTTCTTAATTAACGTAGCCTTAGCTTACGTTTTAGCTTTCATTTAAGTTATACAAACAAAAACAAAACAAAAAAAAAAATATATATATATATATATATTTATATAATTATTATATTACAATAATCATTCGCGATAATAAGATTATTAATGTTATAAGAACTTTTTTATTTACTTGTAAATAATGATTAAAGCTTCGGTTTCATTAATGCTATTAAAATCAAGAAATCCACTGTATCATTATACAATGGATAATATTTGTCGTTGTTTTTTACCTTATTAATTAAAATTTTTCTTTTAATAAACTTGAATGAACTGGTATTTTAAAATAATATTGTCGAATAATGATCAAAATATTGAGCATCTATTTTTCTACAATACTTTGATCCAAAAATCTTTTGACAATGACGACACATTGACTCTGCTAGTACTAAAAAAGTACACGCCACGGGTCATTTTAAGAAATTGAAAGAGCATGTGACGAGGACATCCATCCGTACGCGGTGACGCTTCACTTCGAATAAGGACTTACGGAGCCATTGGATCCGGAATGTCGACGACTCCGTGGTCGTATACGGACACTCGGCGTGCCCACGTCGCTTCCTACAAAATATTGAAACGTTCTGGTTTTCTCTGTTCAGCAAGTGCAAGACATTATCGATTTTTCAAGAGGGCATTATCAAGTTCTGGTACCCAAAGCAGAATCGTGCGATAATGATGATTGGCAAAGAATTTTTTAAATTTGCATATGTCGCATCGAAGGGCTGAGTAAACATTTATAGAGTTTGCATTGGTATTAACAGATGATTGATGCACATTCCATTATCGAAACGTTGCTTTCATCAATTCATTATTACATTGCATTATAATTTGTCAATTATATAATTGACATTAATGATTTGATTAGATACTCGATGATATATTATTTGGAAGAATGCTTAATTCCCGAGTAAACATTTACATCGTTATAAATAAAATGAAAAGGTAGCCGGCGACCGGCTCTTTTGATTGAGATTATATAAACTTGGATAAATTTTCGAAGCCAAATGAAATTCAAAGTCAAGCGGCGACGTTGAAAACAATTTTAAAGCTAAATTTAAAATTTTCATCAAAGCCAGCACTATAATTTATGGACAATAATTTAACTGCCGAGAGCATTGGCTCGTCTTACTCTTAAATTTAATTTTAAACATTTTCCAGTACAACGCTACAAATATATTTAAAAATATCACTTTAAATATATATGTATATATAGTGTTATTATATTAATTACCTTATAAATCCTGAAATTTTTTGTTTAAGCGTGCTATTGGGTTAATAAATAGTATTTGAACGATTATAATCTAGACAAAAGTTAAAAATTAAGCAATTTGGAAAATTGAAATATCCTTGCATTAACAATGAATCGATAGAAAAATTTATATGCAAAGCACACACAGTGATTAGATAAATTAGCGATCGATCGTGAATTCGTTAACAGTTTTTAACTTTTGTATAAATAAATAAATTCGATTATTATACAAGTGGTTAGTGTAGTTATTATAGCGGCTACCAATCACTTGCATTGATATTGAAATGAAATTATTAATAAAATAAAAAAAAATAAAAAAAAAAAAAAAAAAAAAAAGAAGCAATGTATTAGTAAATTTATCGTAGCGTTACTTCTTTTTTTTTCTTTTTTTTTTTTCTTTTTCTGTACATATAAATATGATCGCTAGATGTTAGTATAATAATTTTTATCTATTATTTAAATGAAAATTTACCGCGACATAATCATTTGTGTAGAAGCCATATATAACAAGGGCGTTCGTTAATAATTCATTGATTTAATTTTTAATGCACTTTTTAACTAACTTCCACATCAGTTCTCATATCTATCCACATTTTCTTAATTATAATAAAGATAATGAACTCTAGTATCAAGATGAATTCAATAAAAATAAAAAGATCGGCAAAAGTTTATTATTATTAATATGTACAATTAAAATAGCAACGTATTAAATAGGAAAATAAACTCGCGTCACCATTAAAAATATGACGATTACATATTTATTTTATAAAAGTGATGGTATCGTATCATTTTCAAACTTTTGTCAATTTGTTCAAGTAGATTATAAATCTAAATACAAATGGAAGTATAAATAGTCAACCGTTTCAATGACACTTCGGCTTACTTTTACTATTTATCAAAGTTTAACTTTACATACTCAATTTATAATACATAAGCGTTACATCTAATGTGTAATTAATTAATGATTAAATAAATAAATAAATAATTCCGACTACTGTGTGTATTCTTTTGACCCTACTACATTAGGGCAAATATTAATCAGCGATCTTATAAATAATTGCAATTTGATCGATTTTTATTATTGAAAATGGAAAACGTATTATAAAAAAAAGGAAAAAAAAAGAATGTTATCGTATGCGTTAAAATGCTTATTAATTCATAAATCTTCAGTTCATAAATCTTATTACATGAAATTAGCTGATTATATGGTTGAATTTTTTTTTTTTTTTTTTTTGTTTATTCAGCAGATTCATTTGAAATAAGTTTACTTGCCATTTTATGGATTTTATACTTGATCAAATGGTACCTATCGCATCTCCTTTACCTTTGAAAACAAAAATTAACAAAGAAGGCAGAAGAACTTAATATATTTACATCGTCGATTTCGAGTGGGTCCAATTTTATTCTTATAGATGATAATTTTATTTCTTGGTAATGAAACTAGGACTTAAGTCGTAAATATGCCAATCAATTTAATAACTTTAAGCATTGAGTTATCGCACGTGGATATTCATTGTACCGGAACAACATTAAGATAATTTATAAGAATTTTTTGTAGCCAAGACTGAAGAAAAAATGGTCGATTTAATTTTCGTTATATCACAAGAATGGACCGAGTCTCCTCCTTTTGAGGAGGATGAGATACGCGTTTAAAAGTGAAAAACAATTTTATCTTTTAGGAAACGAAGTGTCTTTTAGGCAGCAGAGGTACGATACCTGTGAGCCCTCGATACCCGAGGGATGTAGAATCAAGCGATTCATTTGTCTCCTGCTGATGCTTGACAAAGTCATTAATGGCAATCCCCTTCAGCTTCGACGGCTGAAGAAAGCGCTTTGGTATGCGAGAGAGTGGCCCCGTGTCCCGAGGACTGCTCGCGCAGCCCCCGAAGCCGAGGCTCAGCAGCACCGCCTCCGGGTCAGCGCGTCTCAGTTCAAGAAGACTCTCGACGCTGCTACAGTGACTGCTATCGGATTGAAAACTCGGGTCTCGCGCCAGTCTGCAATGACAGCGGTGCAACGATAAATTTTACCATTATTTAACTTGCCACCGAGGAATCTCGCTGCTTTTAAGATAATAACGATACTCGATGATGCTTTTTAAGCATTTGATGATTTTTATTTTGATAGTGCTATTAGCAACTATCTTGCCGTATTTAGTTGTCGTTGCCTACTTTTTTCCCATTTACATGGCAAACATTATTTTCATTGTAAACTTAATTAAACCCGCTCGAGTTGTAATATATACCATTTAAATGTGACAACGACGTTTTATATTACAAGTCCAAAATAAATTTTACTCAAAATACAGCTACGTTGATCAGCAAGTAAAATTTCTTGTTGAAGCTTGTTGAAACTTTATAAGAGAGGACGCTTTCATGCGATCTACTTCTTTTAATCATTCTGTAACTATATTTATTCCAGCAAATTAATTGAATTACTTTACTATATATACTTGTACTCTACAGCTATACATTTACAATTGTGCTCTTACGTTATTATGTCATTACACAATGGTGAACCATGAAATATTTGACGAATAGCTAAGTAAAATAATTATCATCTTAATTATCTTTATTACTATAGTATTTATTATTAAACTAAATTAAAAAATGTATTTTTCCAATTAGTTAAAAAATTTACCAAAGTCATTTAACGACATATTGAAGTGCAATAGTAAATTAAAATTATTTAGATGAGCATATACAGTTTAAGAAGTTGTCGAATAAAATTAATTTTAAATATAATATAAATATAATATAACAAATCCATACAAGATTGAAATATACTTTTTCAAATATAATCAAGTAAATATTGTATTTTCAGTATTTTTAAGGGAAAAAGATGGTTAAAAACAGATTTAAAGGCTAACAAAATTTCTACGATACAGCTAAACTTAAAATAATTATACTTTGCAATAATATATTTGATAATATATTTGCAAGATTATTTGAAATTGTATAATAATATATTGTATGTATATACATACATATATATATATATATATATATATATATATATATATGATTAATTATTTCATTCATTACCTCGATACATTTGAATAAGCTATAGTGGGTGAAGTATGAACCGTAATTGGTGTTGAAACAGTCATATTTGATTGACTTAAATAGTTCTCTTCATTTAAAGCTTTCTTAGCAGAGCAATCAGTAATGGAGAGTGTTTCTAAATCAGCAGAGATACTCTGCTGTCTAACAATGGATGCTAAGTTTGAAGTAACAG